GGGGGACGGGGGACGGGGAGTCCGGGCGCGGTGCATCGGGAGCGCTGAGTCCGGATCCTGCCGCTGTGGGAACGGCCGCTCGCTTCCCGCAGGTGGTCATCCGCCGCCTGCCCCCGGGCCTCACCAAAGAGCAGCTGGAGGAGCAGCTGCACCCGCTGCCCGCGCACGACTACTTCGAGTTCTTCGCCGCCGACCTGAGGTGAGGCCCGCCCCGCGGACACGCGCGCGAGTCTAGACGGGGAGGCGGCGGTTAGGGGTGGGGAGGGCGGAGCCGAAGCGCGGCGCGCGGTGTCGCTGCCCTGTGTTTCTCACCCTGATTTTGCTTTTATGGGAGTCGTGGGAGCTTTTTGAATAATTACATTTTAGTAAAAAGTGTCAGTTCGTCCAAAGAGACGTGTCACCGCCAAGCAAACACAGACGCGGTTTACAGAAAAGTGCGGGAGATTTCAGGCGCTAACGCTCGTGGGAACGCGCGCCGTGGAGAGGACCGGCTTCGCCCGCGCGGCGCCTCCCTGCTCGGACGCGGCTTTAAATACCCGCAGCGCCGCGCGCGTGGCTCACGCCGGTAGTCCCCGCACTTGGGGAGGCCGAGGCGGGCGCATCCCGAGGTCAGGCGATCGAGACCATCCCGGCCAACGTGATGAAACCCCGTCTCTACTAAAAATACAAAAATTAGATGAGCATGGCGGCGGCGCCTGTAGTCCTAGCGACGCGGGAGGCTGAGACCGGAGAATCGCTTGAACCTGGGAGTCGGAGGTTACAGTGACCGAAATCGCGCCGCAGCACACCAGCCTGGGCGACAGAGCGAGAGTCTGTCTCAAAAAAAATGTTAAATGAATGAATAAATAAATACCAGACAGTGTCCCCAAGTCAGGAGAGTCTCTCGGCGCCACGGGTTCCTCTGGGAGTGGGCCCTGGCCTTGCCTTAGGATTTCAGCCTCCGGAGACCGGTTCTGGGCAGTGGAGGAGGGACTTGAGTTCTCCCTCTTATTGAAGCAGTTTCAGTTAACATTTGCGTTTGTTTTTGCTAAAGAATATCCAATTCTTACAATTAACTGAGGTGACTCTTCGGCACTAAAGTTTTATCTAAAGTAGTTTGTTGTGTCCAGAAAAGGAAAAAGAGACTAATTTAATGGAATCTTGTATTTTTCACTAACCATTTTCACGGTTGTTTCTTATTTCAGTCTTTATCCTCATCTCTATTCAAGAGCGTACATTAATTTTAGGAATCCTGATGACATCCTTCTTTTTAGAGATCGTTTTGATGGATATATCTTCCTTGACAGCAAAGGTTAGATCATTGGTTTTTCAAAATCTATTATAATCTATAGGTATACTGGTGAAGTATTACTAGAATTTTCCTGCTTTTTTTTTTTTCTTTTTCATTTTTTGAGACAGGGTTTTGCTCTTTTTCCCAGGGTAGAGTGCAGTGGCCACAATCACGGCTCACTGCAGCTTCACACTCTGGCTCAAGTGATTCTCCAGCCTCCCAGGTAGCTGGGACCACAGGCGTCCGCCGCCATGATTGGCTGATTTTAAAAAAAAAAAAAAATTGTAGAGACCGGAAGGGGGTCTCACTGTGTTGCCCATGTAACACAGTGGTCTTGAACTCCGGGCTTCAAGTGATCCTCCCACAGTGCTGGGATTACAGGCATGTAGCTACAGCATCTGGCCCATTTGTGCATTTTAATTAAAAAGTTATTTAACTAAAATAAGAGAAATTTCATTATATTACTATATGTGCAGATATTAAAAATTAAAATTATTTAATTTTATTTAAATCAAAAGAATTCTTGGAATTCTGTGTAATAGTGACAGCCCATTTATGTATTATCATCAGAGAATGAAGGTTTTAATGAGTGAGTTTTCTGCATGAGAGAACTTTATCTTTTTAGATTCTAAAAGTAAATTACCTGTTTGATAGGAATTTTCTAAAGTGTACACTGACTTCTGTCTTCCTAAACAGCACCCTTCATGACTGTACCATTTATGAGAATGTCATCGGGGAGTCACTGACCGCTGTTCAACAGCTTTGCCTGCAGGGACAGTGGTCTTCATCTCTACTTTCAGTAGTTCCCTTCCCAGTACTTCTAGCGTTCTGCTTTGATCTTTTCCCTTCTTCTCCTGTCAGGCTGTCTGCTGTTGGGAACCCTAATCCTAACCGTGACCCTAACCCTGGCTGTCAAGTCTGTGTGCCTTTCACAGCAAGTTGTTTTCTGCCCTCCCCTCCCTAGCCACCCTCTTCCCTCTCCACCTGTTCCTGACACTGATGAGTGTTTTCTTTTTCTCCCCTTAGGGGTGAAGACTAGAAAGATTGTTGCAGAGTAACCAAGTAATAGCTAAATTAGGTTCCTGTGACTAGAAGCAAATGTGATGCCTGAACTGAACTATCTGACCTTTGTGTTCATTGCTCTTTTTTTCATACTTTATTCAGCTTCCTTTTTTTATTTTCAAAAAATAGTGGTAAAATATATGTAACATGGCCAGATATAATGGCTCACTCCTGTAATCCCAGCACTTTGGGAGGGCAAGGTGGGCAGATCACCTGAGGTCAGGGGTTCAAGACCAGCCTGGGCAACATGGAGAAACCCCATCTCTACTAAAAATACAAAAATTAGCCGGGCATCATGGTACATGCCTGTAATCTCAGCTACCACAGGCTGAAGCACGAGAAACACTTGAACCCGGGAGGAAGAGGTTGCAGTGAGCCGAGATCATGCTGACTGCAGCATTTTACGTTCCCACCAGTAGTGAGCAAGGAGCCCAGTCAGTTCTCTTAGTTGCCAGTACTACTTGTCATTGTCGTTTGTTTGTTTTCTTTTTTACTGTCTCCAGTAATGGGTGTAAGCAATGTCGTTTGTTTTTCAAGTACAGATAGGGTCTTGCTATGTTGCCCAGGCTGGTATCAAACTCCTGGGCTCAAGCAATCCTCCCACCTTGATCTCACAAAGTGCTGGGTTACAGGTGTGAGCCGTAGCCCTGCCTTGTTTTTATGGCCTCTGGCCTAAGCCTGTGCTTTTGGTGTCATATGCAGTAACTCATTGCCAGATTCATTGCCATGGAGCTTTTCCCCTGTACTTTTTTCCATGTGTTTTATGGTTTCATGTCTTACATTTAGGTTTGATCCGTTTTGAGTTACTTTTCGTATATGGTGTTAGGTATACAACTTCATTCTTCTGGCTGTGGATATCGTTTTCCCAGCTTAAGACTTTCTTTGGCCAGGCACGGTGGTTCACGCCTGTAATCCCAGCACTTTGTGAGGCCAAGGCAGGCAGATCACCTGAGGTCAGGAGTTCAAGACCAGTCTGGCCAGCATGGTGAGACCCTATCTACTAAAAATACAAAAATTAGCCAAGTGTAGAGGCAGGTGCCTGTAATCCCAGCTACTTAGGAAGCTGAGGTAAATTGCTTGAACCCAGGAAGCTGAGGTTGCAGTGAGCCAAAATTGTGCCATTGCACTCCAGCCTGGGCAACAGAGTGAGACTCCTTTTCCGAAAAATAAAAATAAAAAGACTTTATTTTCCCCATTGAATGGTCTGGGCAGCCTTTTCAAAAATCAGTTGACCAAATATACAAAGGTTTATTTCCAGGCTCTCTGTTTTATTGCATTGGTGGATGTGTCTGTCTGTGTGGCACTACCACACTCAGTGGAGCATGTCATCTGCCACTAAATGAGTATCCACTGTGTGCTAGGCCTTGTGGGTGGAGCAGTAGGTTGGACATCATCCCTGCAGGTCCAGTGCTCTGCAGTTACCAGATTCTTGACTTTATTCTGGATATGCAGGTTGGCACAAAAATGATCTCCCAGATAAAGGTGTTATAATTCAGTCACCTGACCATTACTGACAAGTCTAAAAAGGATGACTCAGTAGGTTTAGTACCAACGTAGCCGTGTTCTGTTGATGATTCAGCAGATAGCAGGTTCTCTTAGTGAACATTTCTCTTTGTGTATTTGTTTTTCCCCCATATAGCAACAAAGTCAGTAGAGATGATTTCCATTCTCTACTTTTATCAGAAGCAAATTTCTCCTGTAATATACTATAAACCCTTTGAAGCCCTCTTTTTTTAGCTATTGTGTCTTCTAAGCAAAGTAATTTTCTTGAACTTATGTAACAGATTGATAGTTGAATTCACTTTTTAAAATAAAATGTAAAATGTAACTAAGAAATCAAATTACTTAGAGGTATTCCAACAATAAATTATTTGGGATGGAGCTAAGGAGGTCAGGTTTATTGAGGTATAAGTTACATAGGGTAAAAGTCACACTTTTAAGGTGAACAATTTGATGAATTTTGAACGAATCCAGTTGTGTAACCAACACCACAACATGATGAATTGTTTTATGGAATAAATAATTGTTCTTCCTACCGGGAGTTCATCCGTGTTTAAGTCTGGAGTTTGCCATGCTAAGGTTGCAGGTACTTGGAAATGTAATTAAATTGCAGGGTTTTTTATCGTTTACTTTTTTATCTCTTACTGGAAGGATGAATTATACTTTAAATAGTAATAATACATTGTCATCGTTATACTTACTCTTTTTTTGAGACAGAGTCTTGCTCTATTGCCAGGGCTGGAGTGCAGTGGTGTGATCTCAGCTGGCTGCAACCTCCACCTCCCAGGCTCAAGTGATTCTCCTGCCTCATACAGGCGCCCGCCACTACCCAGCTAATTTTTTGTATTTTTAGTAGAGATGGGGTTTCACCATGTTGGCCAAGCTGGTCTCGAACCCCTGACCTCATGATTCGCCTGCCTTGGCCTCCCAAAGTGCTGGGATTACAGGCATCAGCCACCGCACCCAGCCTACACTTACTGTTTAAGTAAGCTAGGTCATTATTTTCCAAAATGAATGTAGAATTTCAAAATGGCTTCTGAAATATGTTTCCTGTTAAAGGCCTAGAATATCCTGCAGTGGTAGAGTTTGCTCCATTCCAGAAGATAGCCAAAAAGAAGCTGAAAAAAAAAGATGCCAAGACTGGAAGCATCGAAGACGGTGAGCCCTTTCCAAGTGCTGCATTATGAAGCTGCCAAAGTAAGAACACTGAGCCAATTAATTCTCCTGTAGTTGGGAAAGATTGCACTTTTTTTCTTTCTGTCTTTTTAATGTATAGATCCAGAATATAAGAAGTTTTTAGAAACCTACTGTGTGGAGGAAGAGAAGACCAGCACCAACCCTGAGATTCTGCTGGGGGAGATGGAGGCGAAGACAAGAGAGCTCATTGGTCTGTTTTGCTCATTTCTTCTCTTTTCTTTATTGAGAGATTCACTCATAGAGAATATACGTTTTCCGTCTTTTTCTTGATTGTGATAACAGGTTGAAACTTGTTACAGGCTCAACAGAAATGTAGAGTACTTAGCAGTTTTGACAAAAAGATGGCAAGATGGCCACATGGGAAAATGTTTCTGAGCATTGTTTGATGGAGAGCACCTGATTTTTCTTAGTTATAATCATGTTAAGTTCTAATGTTCCCTAATGAGCAATGGAGAAGACACATGAATGGTATGTGCATGTGCCTGACAGCTTCAGGGAAGGAGTATTGTGTCACAAAGTTGAAGTCAGTGGTCACAGTTCAATGCCTCAGGAGATGTTTTGCTCATGGTGAGGTCGTCTTGCTGCTGTTCCAAACAAATGCCAGGCTCCCTGAACCACGCCAAGCCAAGCCAACTCGTGGATAAGCCCAGCCAGAGCACAATCGGGTTTAAATCCAGCCTTCCACCCAATGCCCACAAGCTGGGATTACAGGGCGCTTGCCATCATGCCTGGCTAATTTAGAGAGGGTTTCACCATGTTGGCCAGGCTGGTCTTGAACTCCTGGCCTCAGGTGATCCGCCCACCTTGGCCTCCCAAAGTGCTGGGATTACAGGTGTGAGCTGCCGTGCCCGGCCATAATAAAGCTTTTGATCACTAAACAAGATGTGCTGAGGCTGCATGCTGCCTGGGCACTGACTCTGGGCCTCGTCATAGGGCTGAGTGATAAACAGGTCGTACAAGGCCTCTGCCTGCCATCGGGCACAACAGGTTGGAAGCAGGAGTGGGAGTAGCCCAGCCGGGGCACTTCAGTTTGTAATCAGTGCCACCGATGTGACCAAATGGCATATGGGAGGGGAAGATCAGGAGACTCCCTCTGAGGTGGTGGTGGAGCTGGAGCTGGGACGGCTACAGGAGGGAAAGAGGTCGGGAGACGAGCTGAGACTGGCTGTGCTGAGCAGTGAGGAAGGGCATGCCAAGGGCATGGCCGGGGGCTGGCGCTTTTCACTTCAGGTACAGAGTGCAGGCTTGTGGGGCTGGCGCGCATGGGTGAGGGCAGCTTGGTTGGAGGGTGGGAGTGCTGCGCAAGAGGTTTAGATTCATTCCAGGGCAACTGGATACCACTGGGGGAGTGGCATGATCTGATTATTGTCCCCATCACTCTGTTGGTGCCACACAGAATAGATTGTGGGTGCCAAAAGATGAGCATGTGTTTCGGAGATGGACTGGACAGGACTAACAGATGGATTGGATGTGGCAGGTTAGGAACAGGAATTAAGACTCCAAGGTTTGGCTTGAGCAGATGGGTGGATTGTGGCACCATTACGCCCAAGGGTTGATGGAGGTAGGACAGTATTGGGAGCAAAGTCGAGATTTCACTTTAGAACTTGATAAATTTAAGAAGAGCTAGAAAAAGCAAATTAGATGTTAATTACAGACCTCGCATTTCCTTCTCACTTTGTTTTAAATGTCTCTTTGTATTGGATCGATCGTTTAGGGCTGTTTTGAGACATACCTTTTTAGTTCAGACTCACTACTCCTGCAGGGGCTGCTGGAGGATCAGGGTGGCATCACCAAGAATCTGCTGCACAGCCAGTGCAGCACAAATGTTGACTGAATGAATGAATGTGGCTTGGAATCCACCGTCCCTGTTGGGAGCAATTAATTCGTTCTAGGACTTGGCTGTAAAGCCTTCTTTGTTTCTGTGATTGCTGTTTCTGCATATTAAAAATTTAACCTTAATCAGGCAATTCGTGGCAAATTATCTTTTTCTTAGGTTTTGGCCTCCATTGGATTCTTCTGAACAGATCTAAGAAGCGAATGTTAAATGGAATATGAATAAACACTGGCAAGGGCTCTGGAGTTGTTGAGTTAGTCTGGTGCATAGGCCTTTAGAGCAGACTGCCTGGGTTCAGCTCTGAGACTTCTGTTTACTTGTGTTCTGTTGCATGGTCGTGCGTATTTTGTCTGATAAATAACATTTATGATGTGTAAAACACTTTCTTACTCAGGTCTCATGTACTTTTCCTATGATCCCTGTGGGGGATAGGGCAGGCATTTTGTAGGAAGAGGAAGGCAGGCAGGTAGAGTCTGGGGTCAGCCTCCCCGTGCTTCTGGGTGGTCTCGCCCTGCTTCTGGCTGACAAGTCCAGGCCTTCACAGAGCAGAGCAGACCCCTGGTTGATTTGAGAGAATTTGCCCATTACAGAGAGCTGATCATTTTACCTGAGCCAATGAGCTCTACTCACCCTGAGCCAGAGTTCGTGGTCTGCCCAGGGACCCCTGGGGGGAGTGGGTTCTCTGTGGCCACTGTGCTTTCCATGAAATATGGCATTTGCAGCCGCATCAGCTCTTCCCTACGGCCACCATGCCTGGGGCAGGGCTCCTGGGACAGGTGCCATTTGATCCATGATGTCAAGGTGTCAGGGGTCCTCAGTTCTAAGTGAGGGATCCCTGGCCAGAGTTTCTGCTAGGATTCCTGATTCACACCTGTTCCTCAGAATTCCAGAGATGTTGTGTCAGTTTGCAGGTGCATCCAGGGATTCTTCCCAACCCTGTTTAATCTGAGACCTGCAGAATAAATCCAGACCATCTTCCCCCTTCCCACCTGTGTCCTCATGTTGGCAGGACACGGGGCCCGACCCCCTGAGCGGGAGTCCCTCTGAAGCAGTGCCTATGGGGCCTCCAGCTTGCCTGGGCACTCACATCCAGGTCAGATCTGAGCAGTTCCCTAGTAGTTGGCATCTTTTCAGAACTCAACAGCACCATGTGGAGTCCTTTTCTAAACTGCAGTCCAGAGTTGTGTCTTATCATTATGATTTTATGGAGTATGTATTGTAAGACATTACAAGAATCCATGTTTCTTAAAGCCATCACTTGGAGAACAGAAAACGAAAAAATTCTCAGAATATGTGATGTATCAAAGTAAATACATGTTAATGACTTAAGGTATCTACAGAAATATCACCTGTGTAGTATTTTAAGCCTCCCTTAAGAATCAGGAATTAGATATCTACTACGTATAAAATTGTTGATAGTTTCAAATTACTTGACTTGATAGTAATGGAATAAAAACTCCCCTGGAGACAGTGTGTGGTCATGTTAAATTTAAAAAGTAATTATATTGTTACCCTATTTATTTTAAAGATTAAATTGAAAACAAGTATTTAAAGTAAATCGTTCTTTAGGAGTTAAATGCTACATTACAATTTTTGTGTTTTAGCTAGAAGAACCACACCTCTTTTGGAATATATTAAAAATAGAAAATTAGAAAAGCAGGTAGGTCTGGCCTTTACCTGATGGACACCCTCCCTGCTGCTGCCATTCTCATCCAGACAGTCCGTACACACATTCTTCCATGTCTTTAGAGAATTCGGGAAGAGAAGCGAGAAGAACGGAGGAGGAGAGAGTTAGAAAAGAAACGCTTGCGGGAAGAGGAGAAAAGAAGAAGAAGAGAAGAAGAAAGATGCAAAAAAAGGGAGACAGATAAACAGAAGAAAACTGCAGAGAGAGAAGTAAGGATTAAGGTAATTCTGAGGAAACATTTTATTCAGTTTTTCCAATAGTTCTGTTACAGTAATTATCCTTTTTACACATCTTAGCTCTTTAGAATTTTGAGAACATTTTGAGTTCACGTAATACTGTGTTGTTACAAACCCTTTCTTTCTATGTCAGCAGTGGTTTCCACAGCGCGTCCTGAGCCCTGGGAGTCCTCAGGCTGTTGTTGGGCGCCTGTCCTCCTGGGTGTGCACTGAGGACACCCCCACAGGAGCCCCACGCTGGCACATGTCGGGTTGCTGCTGACACTGTCCCTTTTTTTGTTTTTCAACTTTCCAACTTTCCTTTTAGGTTATATCAAGAGCATAAAGATTAAAAGACAGATGGCTCCTGGCTTCTCTGCTATTTTTTTTTGTTTGTTTGGTTTTTTGCGGACAGGTTGAGACAGGGTCTCTATGTGTCACCCAGGCTGGAGCATAGTGGTGCAGAATCACAGCTCACTACAGCCTCTATCTCCCAGGCTCAAGTAATCCTCCTGCCTCAGTCTCTCTTTCCAGGGGTACACCACCGCAGCTGAATAGCTAATTTTTAAAAAAAGTTTGTAAAGATGGGGGTCTCACTGTGTTGCCCAGGCTGGTCATGAACTCTTGGGCTCAAGTGATCATCCTGCTACTGGGACTAGAGAGGCGCGGGCCACCACACCCAGCCCTCATGGCTATTCTTAATAAAGAAAAATACAGCACACAGAACAGCTCAGCTGTTTAATGTTCCTCTGAGGATGGTAAGCAGTAAGCTTATGTGTGGCCACACAGGCAAGAGCTGGGAGGGAGCCCAGCTGCCCATGCACTCCGGTTGGCCTCCAGAAGCCTCTCGGGGCACGGCAGAACTGCCCTGCTCCCCAGCTCGTCTCCAGCAGCCCTGACCTGCTATTTTCTCCTGAATGCACCAGCAGATTCCACCTCAGGCCTCTGCACGTTTTTCTCCACGGGGACTTCCCCAGATTTGCCCATGGCTGCTCCTCAGCATCTGGTCTTAGATCTTGACTCTGCAGTGGAACCTTCTCTTCCCGTCTCCCTGTGTCTCTGCTGCTTTACTCTCCCTTTGTATGTGTTCGTAGCCTTTGATACTACCTGAGATTATCTTGTTCCTTTGTTTCCTTTCTCCTATTTTTGCCACTGTTTACAGCATTCCCCCTTGACCACCATTGCCTCAGGTGGATAATCAGGCATGAGCTCCCTCAAGGCAGGGGCATGTCTGTCCCATTCACAGCCATTTCCCTAGTGCCTAGCACAGTGTCTTAGACCTTGCTTCCTGCACACGGCTCCTCAAACCCCGGGAATCTGCAGTAATATGAGTATCTTATATGCCAGTGAGAGGACTGGCAGCTTCAGAATGGGGACTAGTTGCCAGAAAGACCAATGCAGGACTAGAGGGTTGGGACTTTCAGTCCCAACCTAGCTTCCAAGAGGACAGAGGGCCTAGAGAGAGGTAATCACCAGTGGTCGATGACTTAATCATACCCGTGTCATGAAACCTTAAAAATGCCTAAAGATGAGGCTTCCGGGTTGGTGAGCACAGCAAGATACTGGGTGGGTTACGCATGGAAGCTCCAAGGACCACCCCACCATACCCCATACCCACCTTGTGCATGCCGTTTGGCTGTTCTAGGTTGTACCCTTTATGATAAGCCGGTAGTCCAGAGTGCAGTGCCTTTCTGAGTCCTGTGAGCCATTCCAGCAACTTAGCAAATCTGAGGAGAGGCCATTGGGAACTCCTGAATTTACTGCTGGTTGGTCACAAGTACCGGTGACACACTGGGACTTGGAACTGTCATCTGAAAGGAGGGGCAGTCTTGTGGGACTGAGCCCTTGACTTGTGGGGTCTGGTGCTAACTCCAGGTCAGTGGTCTCAGAGTTGAGTTGAATGTGGAGCATGCAGCTGGTGTCGGAGAGGTGGTATTGAAAAAGATGTGCAGTATCAGAAATGTTGTAAGAACAGTCCCTAGGCACACAGAACATTTGTTGAGTAGGTAGATGGAGATTGTTGCACTTCCCGATGGTTTGCATTTATTACAAACATATTAATGCCGCAATTGTTTTAAAAGATGGATAGGGCTGGGCATGGTGGCTCACACCTGTAATCCCAGCACTTTGGGACGCCGAGGCAGGCAGATCATGAGGTCAAGAGATCGAGACCATCCTGGCCAACATGGTGAAACCCCATCTCTACTAAAAATACAAAAATTAGCTAGGTGTGGTGGTGCGTGCCTATAATCCCAGCTACTTGGGAGGCTGAGGCAGGAGAATGGCTTGAACCCTGGGGGCGGAGATTGCAGTGAGCCAAGATCGCGCCACTGCACTCCAATCTGGTGACAGAGCGAGACTCCCTCTCAAAATAAAAAAAAGGATGAACAGTTACTGGAAAGGAAATATTTAAGTTCCCATATTCCACATAGGCAGAATAAGAGGATGTTCACAGCTGACACAGGACCCATGCTTGATGAGAAGCAGTTTTCATGATGCGTTTTGTTCCCAAGTGAATGCATGTAATTGAATGCGTCTGTGTATGGTCTTGCTATGCTGCAGTTTAAAGTATGTCTACTTTATGAATGAGAACACAATTCTTAGTTCACCTTCCATTTCTGTTCTACAAATATTCTATGTGATGCTTCCACTTCTTTTTTTTTTTTCTCTCTTTCTTTTCCCAAGTTAGCTGAAGTGCTTTAGTTTCAAAAATTATTCAGAGAGCAGGGAGAAAGGCCCAGGGGGAGACAGGGCAGATGAAATATGTCATAGCGACTTGCTCATCAATTCTGTTTCAAGAACGAGAATAATCAATGTTTTGAAAACTATAAAATATTCTAAAAATCATCAATAGGAAGAAACCTTTAAAAAACTTTTTTTTTCCTTACCACAAAAGTAATACTTGTCTATTTTAGAAAAACTAGACCCTGTAGATGAAAGGAACTAAAGTCATGTCTTGTCTATTTTAGAAAAACTAGACCCTGTAGATGAAAGGAACTAAAGTCATGTAAGTTCTGCCATCTAGCAACAATCACTATTGTCGTGGCACAGCGGCCCACACCTGCAATCCCAGCACTGTGGGAGGCTGAGGCAGGTGGGTCACCTGAGGTCAGGAGTTCGAGACCAGCCTGGCCAACATGGGGAAACCCCATCTCTACTAAAACTACAAAAATTAGCCAGGTGTGCTGGCATGCACCTGTAGTCCTTGCTACTCAGGAGGCTGGGGCTGAAGCAGGAGAATCGCTTGAACCCAGGAGGTGGAGGTTGCAGTGAATTGAGATCGTGCCACTGCACTCCAGCCTGGGTGGCAGAGCGAGACTCCATCTCAAAAAAAAAAAGAAATTAAGAATCACTGTTAACAGAGTGCTGCAGAGCCCTTTAGACAGTGTTGTATGTGTGTTTGAACATAAATTGAAGTGGGATTGTGGTGCATTTTCTGGTTTTTAGCCTGTTTTTCATCATGTGAACATCTTTTCATCATATTAACTATCTTACATTATTTTTCGTGACTACAAAATATTTCATTCACTGAATGTTCCACCAGGTGTTCGACCAAAAACCTCATTTTTGAACATTTAGCTTTCATTATTTTGCTGTGCAAACATTTGGCTTCATTATTGGGATCTATTTGTAATTATTTAACAGCTTCTTTTAGAATGTGCTCTTGAGGTGATATTTTACTAACATTATAATTTCTCAGCTTCTTAAGAAACCAGAAAAGGGAGAGGAACCAACCACAGAGAGTCCAAAAGAAAGAGGAGAGGAGATTGATCCTGGAGTTGGCAAGCAGGAATCCAGTACCCCCGGCGCAGTCATAAAAGTCAGGCCCGCGGAAGGCTCGCTGGAGGAGCCCCAGGAGATGTGAGCGTGCTTTCGTTGTTAGGACCACGTCAGCTCCCAGTCATGGCAATGTAGGCTTTGTCAGTACGAGTGTGCCTATTTCACATTATTCTTGGAATCCAAGACTTTCCAAGGTGTGCAAGTACACGTCAGCCTTCATTTCCCATCAGCATGCCAGGAACTTAGTGGACTCTCTCGTCTGTAGTCTGTCTTCAGATCAGGGAATTTCTTCCTGTTGTTTGCTTTGCTGTTGCCTCCATGTCCTCTTCCTTTTTCTCCTGAGCTGCCTCCTGGATTCCTGCAGTTGCATGTCAGGTCTTCAGGATCTGTCTTCCCAGTCTTTGTGTTTCCTTTTTTTTTTTTTCTCTGTGTTTTGTGATATCTTGCCCTTTGCTCTTTTTTTAATCTCTCCTGCCATTTATCTACAGAATTGTGTATTTGAGAACCCCATCTTTTAGAGCTGGCAGATCTTTTGTGATAGAGAAACAGAATTTTAAGTACTGTAATCCTTTGGTTGAAGCTCCCGCTGGCACCTCTAGCTGTGGAACTTGACCAGCAGCTTTGTCTGTGCACTGTGGGTCCTCCCTTTTTCTTTTCCTTTGTCCCTTATGGCATGCAGCTCTGTGGAGGTATGTCCCTTATGACATGGAGCTCGTCTGTGAAATGGACAGACACAGCAGTATCTGCCTGGTGGGCCAGAGAGACCAGCCAGATGCCAGTAGGGAGGGATCCTGTCCCTCCTGCTCCTGGCACGTGCCATCCTCAGGGCCCCATGCGGTTGGGCTTATCTTCCCCTCCAGGACCCCTGCCCACTCACCACATCTCAACATCCACGGTCTCCTGGTGCCCAGGGCCACTTGGCTCGCAGGGGATGGTGAACATGGAATTTAGTTGGGAAGCCTAATGGGATGAGGCTGCCAGCTTCCCAAAGTCACAGTAATCGGAGTGATTTCTCACTGCCTTTCTTTCAGAGTTGTTGATGAAGTATTTTTTTTCTTCTTGGGGGTTTTGGTTTACTGCTTTGTTTGTAAAATTTATATGAGATTACAAATCCATGATTGTGAAGCACTGTGATTATGTTACACGTGTTACCATGACTGTCGATGATACAGCAGTGCCTACTGCCATGTGCCTGGTGTGAATTCATACTTGGTTACAGAGCCTTATCCCCACCAGCCCTGCCAAATGAGCTCAACAGCCATTTATTTATTTACTATTCACTTAATATTCTGATAAATACATAAATATAATTAATTTGCCATTATTAAGTGTCAGTTAATTTGACTGTGCTTGAAGCAGAAAGTAAGCTGTCAGTATTCGGGCTGCCGGTCATGATGGATGTACACCTGGGTTCCCAGGACAGCCGCTGGACCACTTTAGTCTCAGTCACTTGATCTGTGGAAAAGAAGATTTATTTTATTTTATTTTATTTTTAATTTTTTTGAGTCTCGCTGTGTCACCCAGGCTGGATTACAGTGGCATGATCTCAGCTGACTGCAAACTCCACCTCCCACGTTCAACCAATTCTCCTGCTTCAGCCTCCCAAGTAGCTGGGATTGCAGGCACCCACTACCACATCTGGCTAATTTTTGTATTTTTAGTAGAAACAGGGTTTCACCACGTTGACCAGGCTGGTCTCAACTTCCTGACCTCAAATGATCTGCCTGCCTCGGCCTCCCAAAGTGCTGGGATTACAGGCACATGCCACCACACCTGGCTAATTTTTGTATTTTCAGTAAAGACGGGGTTTCACTATGTTGGCCAGGCTGGTCTCCAACTCCTGACCTCAGTTAGTCCACCTACCTTGGCCTCCTAAAGTGCTGGGATTGCAGGCATTACTCACCATGCCTGGCCAAAAGAAGATACTTACTTTGGAGGGTTTTGAGAATTAGAAAATGTGTATAAAAAGTACCTTAGCATATCTTATTGCCTATCTGTCACTCAAGTGAAATTGCAAATTTTACTACGATTTATTCCTCTTCGCAGTGGTTTTTATGAATGCCTGTTGTGTGCCCATCGCAGTAAAGCCTCAGCAGCGCAGTGCTGAGCACGTCACACTGTCCCTGGCCTCTGGGAGCCTCTGGTCTAGAAAGGAGGGTGGGCAGCTAACCGGCATTTACTGCAGTTGCTGATCATTTGTGTTGAACATAGGTCACGCAACGGCAGTGACAAAGAGCACAGGGATGTGGAGAGATCTCAAGAAAAAGAGCTTGAAGCACAGAGACCCCATATGGATGATGGCAGGAGGCACAGAGCTTACCACGAGCCTGACCGGCTTTCCAGAAGGAGTGAAGATGAGCAGAGATGGGGGAAAGGACCTGCCCAGGACAGAGGGAAGAAGGGGAGCCAGGACAGCGGGGCCCCAGGGGGTGCCGCGGAGAGACCCGGGAGAGCTCAGAGGTGTGACGACAGTCCAGCACCCAGAAAGGAGCGACTGGCAAACAAGGTTTTTATCAAATCCAGAAAGAAACACCTGGCTGGCTGTCTTAGGTCCACGTTGCACGCTGACCATGTCATTTGGCCTTATGTCATCTTGGGGAGCGTAGTGCTTTTACAAGAGCAGTTATTCCTGAAAGATCGTAGAGGAGACTAGTCATCATCTTTTCTCAGAGAATCAAATTATTTTTGAGGAGGAAAAAGAAAGATTTTATTTAGTTTAAAAGTAGCACATTTATATGATTTGCTTGAGAATAAGATTAAGGATTATGACCTTTTCCCTTGGAAGGAAAGTTTTAATGATATTTCATGGAGCTGTCTTCCACATTATTAACAACACTCTCATCATTAGTGAATAATCCCATGGCTCAAAAACACCCGTAAGTTAGTTGTGCACAGACAGTGAGCACAGGACTGTGGTTACCCCCTTAGCCAAGCAAACAGCTTCTTTTTCAGAAGCTTGAAGCTCATTTTTGTTCAGATTGCATTTTCCCAGCGCAGCACTACAGATGGCATCATCTCCCTGACAGCACCAGGCCCCACCCCAGCCTCCCAGCGAACTGAGGGCTGCGTAGGGCTGCAGTTCCCACTCACCTCCCTCCCTCCCTGTAACCCTGGCAGCCACTGTCGGTTCTGTGTGAATTTGTCACTTCAAGAATGCTTGATAAATGGAAATACACAGTATGTGAGTTTTAAGAGTGGCTTTCTTCACTCAGCCTAATTCCTTTCAGATCTTTCCAGGTTGTCATATGTATGAACGATGTTCACTTTTAAAATGTCTCAGTGAAGTAGAGGCTGAAAGCCAGAGCGGAGCCTTCTTGTCTTCACCCTTGAATGATCACCTCTAGAATACTCCACAGTTTTCTAGGGTTGCCTAGACCTCTAGTGGCACAAAGTACAGCCATGGGTCCTTTTGATGGGGACTTGCTCACAGGTCTTCAGTTGCCTTTTCACAGTGGTGAATGGTCTGATGTCCCCCCGACCTGAGGTGGGGGAGCATTCGCTCCTCTGTTGAGTCTGGTGGGAATGAGGCGCTGTGTGCAGGAGCTGTCTTCCTGGAAGCCTGGCATTTGTCATGTACTTCTAAGGTCAGGCTCCGTGCTCCGTCTGTGTACACAGGCACTGCCCTGGTGAGAAGTGAGAGCTGTGCACGCTGGCTCCAGGCAGCCTGTCTCTGCCCCACAGGAGGATTCAGGTCCAGGGGCCTGCTGAGCCTGTTTGCACCCCTCCCATTGGTCAGGTTCATATCAAGGAAAAGAAATTAAGTTCACCCCCTTGGCGTAACCTGATGGGGGCTTCCACACACAGTCCAGGAGGAGGTAAAGGTGAGCTGGTGAATCCCAGAGAAGGAGCACATGAGATGTACCCACATGGTCATCCGTGCAGCCCACACTTGGGCTCCTGGCGGCCATTGGAGGCTAAGGCTGCAGCTCTGCAGGGAGAGTAGGCAGTGAGCGGGAGGCACATGGAGTGGGAGGCTACAGGCTTCTGCAAATGAGCCGTCTTCCTCCCTTCCGCCCCTTCAGTGCTGGGGCAGGGCTGGTGGCCCCATCAGGGAGGAGTCGCTGCCTTCCCTGGCTATTGCTGCCCTCAGGCTCTGAACAGCTGCCCTTCATGGATTTTATGGGTCGTTTTTATTACTGCTTCTCCAGGAGTTTAATAAAATGATGGAGTGGTGTTTTCTAAAAAGGGGCAGTTCAGTTTCCCTGCTGGTAGATGCTAGGCAGGGATAAGCCCGTGAAATTGCTTATTACTCACGTTAATAACTGTTTCAGTTTGCAGATCTGAAACCATCTCTGAGGGTCCACATCTCATTTTGTTTCAGGCTTAGGGACTGAGGTGGACATGTTTTGAGTTTTCACCTCCCAAACTCAGAGGGGGATGCCATGATTGTACTACTACTGTTCCCGCAGATTACATGTTCTTGGTTTGAGCAGTAAGATTTGCCTAGGTAACCAACATTTACGAGGCTTTTTAAATTGCTTTAGAATGCCTGGTTTCTGAGATAGTGCTGTGAAAAGGGTTGATTTTTAGCTGCCTGGTTGATTTTCTTTTCTTTTTTGATAAGGAGTTTTGCTCTTTCGCCTAGGCTGGAGCGTAGTGGCGCAATCTCAGCACACTGCAACCTCCGCCTTCCAGTTTCAAGGGATTCTTCTGCCTCAGCCTCCCAAGTAGCTGGGATTGCAGGCACCCACCACCACACCCGGCTAATTTTTTTGTTTTTGTTTTGTTTTGTTTTTGAGACACAGTCTTGCTCTGACGCCAGGCTAGAATGCAGTGGCACGATCTCAGCTCACTGCAACCCCCGCCTCCCAAGTTCAAGCAATTCTCCTGCCTCAGCCTCCTGAGTAGCTGGGATTACAGGTGCCCACCACTACACCGAGTTAATTTTTTGTATTTTTTAGTAGAGACGGGGTTTTACCCCATTGGCCAGGCTGGTCTTAAACTCCTGACCTCATGATTTGCCTGCCTTAGCCTGCCAAAGTGCTGAGATTACAGGTGTGAGCCACCATGCCTGGCCTAATTTTTGTATTTTTAGTAGAGATGGGGTTTCATCATGTTGGCCAGGCTGGTCTCAAACTCTTGACCTCAGGTAATCTGCCCACCTCAGCCTCCCAAAGTGCTTGGGTTATAGAGGCATGAACTACCACATCTGACCTGGCTGATTGTCTTTGGACAATTAATATCAGCAAGCTCTAGAAATGCAGGGAGAGGCCGGGCGTGGTGGCTCACGCCTGTGATCCCAGCACTTCGGGAGGCCAAGGCAGGTGGATCACCTGAGGTCAGGAGCTCAAGACCAGCCTGACCAACATGGAGAAACGCCGTCTCTACTAAAAATACAAAATTAGCTAGATATGGTGGAGCATGCCTGTAATCCCAGCTACTCGGGAGGCTGAGGCAGGAGAATTGCTTGAATCCGGGAGGCGGAGGTTGCAGTGAGCCGAGATCATGCCATTGCACTGCAGCCTGGGCAACAGGAGCGAAACTCCATCTCAAAAAAAAAAAAAAAAGGACAAGAAATGCAGGGAGATATTGATGCTTTCTGCGTTGCTGGTCCTTGGAAGAGTAACGTGCCCTCTTATCCTGGCAGGACCGGCCGGCCTTGCAGCTATATGATCCGGGAGCTCGCTTCCGAGCTCGAGAGTGTGGTGGAAGCGGGAGGAACTGCAAGGCAGAAACGTCGGGGACTGGTCCTGAGAACAGGGAAGAGGCAGAGTGAGTCACAGTGTGCACCTGGCCTCCATGGACGAGCGAAGGCATCCCAGAAACGTGTACGTGACTCCAAGTGTCACTGGAAGGGAGCACTTACTCGTTACCAGGAAACGAAGCTGAAAATAAAGAGGGTGACGTAGAAACACACAGAAGCCATTCTAAAGAAAGTAGTGATCTTGTCTTAAATTGAGCAGAATTCTCGTGGATTTTAACATTTCTGGTATAAACTAGTATTTGATGTTTAGCCAAATCACAAATGATTTTCACTGGACAGTAGAAAAGTATGTGTAAAATAGGGGAGAAAATTAGTATTGGATCAGTACGAGCCCTGAAGCACTGTCAACGTATGTTTGTAAGCAGAGGAGCTGTCAGCCTCATTGTGGCCTCTGAGCCGTGGTGTCGAGGAAAGAGCAGTTCTTGTTTGTTATCACCTTTGTGAGTCAGTCACACCTGTGCTGTGTTTTAGTCCTTCGGTAGGGATATGTATCAGACTTCACACTATGTAAAACCCAACAGCTTCAACTATTGCCATTTCAGCAGTTTTGTCACTGACTGGATGAAAATGATTTCACAGTCTTGGATGGATGCGTTTGTGGTTTGTAACCATTATGGTTTAAACCATGGTTTAAGGATTTGCCCAAATAACAGAAATTTTGTTCAGGAAGGGATAAAGTGGGTACAGCACATAGATGACTTTTAGACACTTTATTTGTAAATAACTTAAAATAGCTTTCTGAAACTATGCATCCTACAGTTTTCTTCCTTTCAGTGAAATTGTTAAATGTTAATGTATTTTTGGCACTATGATTTTAACCATTTATTAAATAATTTTGTTAAAGAGGTATTGGAATATTCTTTGAATCTGTGTCAGCTATGTAAGGGAAATTCTGATTTGTTAGTTCAAATGCCTGACAGTGTAATCATGCAGATCTTCTCTTTTCTTGGTTTGGATGACACTGGGCAGATGTCAAAACACGCAGAAAGTTCCAAAAGGTAAGGCCTTAAAATATTTTACAGGTAAATATTTTACCACACCTGGCTTTTACCACAGACTTTTGCCACACCTGGCTAATTTTTCTTTAACACTTTCTGCATCTGCCCTAAATATCAGAGCAAGACAGAAAAAGAAAACACTAGGTTAGGACAAGCAAACTCACACGCGCAAAAAAAAAAAGACAACACAATTTGGAAGAGCCACCCAGAGGGAGACAGTGTCAGCACCACCTGTGTCACACACACAGGCTGTGCTTTGTCTGCTGGTTCTACTTGACAAAAGGGGACCAGTTGTTTCTTTCATCAGTGAACCACAGCTGCAGGTGGATTTGTATACCAGGATGAATGAGGACTCAGACGTCACCTTCCATTTCCAAGTGTACTTTGGCTGTTGTGTAGTCATGAATAGCCATGAGAAGGGGGCTTGGAAGCCTGAGGTGAAATCCAAAAATATGCCCTTTCAGGATGGCAAAGAATTTGACCTGAGTATCTTGGTGCTGGACAGTAAGTACCAGGTAGTGGTCCGTGGCCAGTGTTCTTATAGCTTTGACCATCGAAACCTGCCTGAGTCTGTGAAGATGGTGCAAGTGTGGAGAGACGTCTCCCTGACCAAAATGATTGCCTGCAGTTGAGGGTGATAACCAGACTCCCTGTTGACAAGGAATCCCTGTTCCTGTGTGACCATGGGATTCCCAGAGCTAGCTAACAGCATAATTCCTCCTCTCTTCAACCCTTACTCTTTCTCTTTAAAGCTTCAACAAACTTTAAAAAAAAAAAAAAAAAAAATTACATTTTAAAATCACATACGCCCATGCTTCTTCACAAAGGGAATATCTTATCTGTAAAATAAAGCCATATTCCCACTGGAAAGTTGGTGATCATTAAGAATTTCTAGGTTGCTTAAATAATAGTATCTTGCCTATACGAAGTTCTTTTTTCTTTGTTTTCTTTTTTTTGAGACAGTCTCACAATGCCACCCAGGCTGGAGTGCAGTGGCGCACAGTGGAGTGCAGAATCCGCCTCCTGGATGCAAGCAATTCTCCTGCCTCAGCCTCTGGAGTAGCTGGAATTACAGGCGCCCACCACCACACCCAGCTATATTTGTATTTTTAGTAGAGTCAGGGTTTCACCATGTTGGCCAGGCTCATCTTGAACTCCTGACCTCAGGTGATCTGCCCGTCTTGGCCCCCCAAAGTGCTGGGATTATAAGTGTGAGCCATCGCGCCCAGCCCGTTTTTAATTTTATTAATATAATTACTGAGAAATCTTGTTCACATAGTAAAAGGGAACAGAGGAATTTTGTTATATTAATACCACTTAATTCAAATTTCTTTCTGGCTGGGCTCAATGGCTCATGCCTCTAATCCCAACACTTTGGGTGGCTGAGGTGGCCACCCAAAGTGTTGGGATTAGAGGCATGAGCCATTTGAGGTCAGGAGTTCAATACCAGCCTGACCAACATCTCTACTAAAAATACAAAAAAATTAGGCTTGGTGGCACACGCCTGTAATCACAGCTACTGGGAGGCTGAGGCAGGAGAATCACGTAAACCTGGGAGATGGGGTTTGCAATGAGCCGAGATTGTGCCACTGCACTGTCGCCTGGACGACATAGTGACACTGTCTCAGGAAAAAAAAAAAAACTTACTTTCAAGTTATATTGCAAAATGTTCATAGTTATCTATGATCAGTATTTTAATGGTCTACCATCTCATAATTCTTTCAATTTTATTGAAAGCTAAGGATTGGGAACTTTTTAAAAAGATTTATTCAATCACTAAAGTCCCCAATTTCTTTATTTCTGAGGATTTTTCAGCTATTGATTACACCCATTGCTCTTCCGCTCTTTGAGAGAAACAGCTTAATTTGGCATACTCAGGTTTGCGGGGAGAATCAAAGCAGTGATTTCAGCACATCTTTATCAGTGCAATTTGTTTTGTTTAATTTTTTTTGAGATGGGGTATCGCTCTGTTGTCAGGCTGGAGTGCAGTGTCACAGTCTCGGCTCACTGCAACCTCTGACTCCCTGGCTCAAGTGATTCTCCTGCCTCAGCCTCCTAAGTAGCTAGGATTACAGGCACGTGCCACCATGCCTGGCTAATTTTTGTATTTTTAGTACAGACAGGGTTTCACCATGTTGACCAGGATGGTCTTGATCTCCTGACCTCATGATCCACCTGCCTTGGCCTCTCGAAGTGCTGGGATTACAGGCGTGTCAGTGCAATATTTATAGTGTTCAATGCATGTTTGCCAAAGCCTTGGATTGTGGATTTAATTCATCCAATTTCTGGAAAATGCAGTAAAGTCGAGATTAAAATTATATAGAGCAAATAGTTTGTTTCTCATTACCTAATATAAATAATGCAGTATAATGTTTAGCTAAATGTGTGAGTTATTGGTGAAGCCAGCAGTGTGATAATGGGAGTTCTATTACTTCAGTAAATATGTGTTTGAATATGTTAACTTTAGCATGGGGCTTTTAGGGATAATTAAAAGATTGATTTTTAAAATTATAGTTTTGTTTTACAACATGACCAGGTGTCTTAGATGTATTTAATAAAACATTAAAGTATATATTGATAAAAACTAATAGTCTTGCATTTAGCTTATAATTTTTTTTTTTTTTTTTTTTTTTTTTAGACCGAGTCTCACCCTGTTGCCCAGGCTGGAGTGCAATGGCAGAATCTCAGCTCACTGCAACCTCCACTGCCTGGGTTCAAATGGTTCTTCTGCCTCAGCCTCCCGTGTAGCTGGGACTACAGGTGCGTGCCACCATGCCCAGCTAATTTTTGAATTTTTAGTAGCGACAGGGCTTCACCATGTTGACCAGGCTGGTCTCAAATACCTGACCTTGTGATCCACCTGCCTTGGTCTCCCAAAGTTCTGGGATTACAGGCGTGAGCCACTGTGCCCGGCCAGCTTATAATTTTTTTAACTAATGGAAGGTAGAAATATATATATATATATATATTTTTGAGACAGGGTCTCACTCTCTTGCCCAGGGTGGAGTGCAATGGCGTGATCTCAGCTCACTGCATCCTCTGCGTCTCGGGTTCAAGTGATCCTCCTCCCTCAGCCTCTCGAGCAGCTGGAACTACAGGTGTGCACCACCACACCCAGCGAATTTTTTTGTGTATTTAGTATTTAGTACAGATGGGGTTTCACCATGTTGGCCAGGCTGGTCTTGAACTCCTGACCTCAGGTTATCCACCTGCTTCGGCCTCCTAAAGTGCTGGGATTGCAGGCATGAGCCTGGCCAGAAATAAAGTATTTAATTGGATAAAGAATGACAGTAACTGGGAAACATTTGGTAGAAACAGGTTTTAAGTATCTTAATGATTACTGCACACTTTATCAGGATGAAACCACATAAAAATTTACCCTTAGGTTTTATAGGATGTAATTTGGAAATAGTCTCATTAGCAAGTTGCTTGAACTTTCACATATGTTCCTTGATCATTCTGTGCCTGTGAGAGTCATGTTTATGGAGCTGGGGTCATGCTCTGTTGGCCAGGCTGGAGGGCAGTGGCTATTCACAGGTGTGATCATAGTGCACTGCAGCCTCAAACTCCTAGCCTCAAGCAGTGCTCCCACCTCAACCTCTCAAGTAGATGCTTTTGCCTTTCCAAAAATCATACTTTGGCTGGACGAAGTGCTGACACCTGTAATCCCAGCACTTTGGGAGGCTGAGGCAGGAGGATCACAAGGTCAGGAGACTGAGAGCATCCTGGCCAACATGGTGAAACTCCGTCTCTACCAAAATACAAAAAATTAGCCGGGTGTGGTGGCGGGTGCCTGTAGTCCCAGCTACTCAGGAGGCTGAGGCAGGGGAATCGCTTGAACCCGGGAGGCAGACGCTGCAGTGAGCTCAGAGCACACCACTGCACTCCAGCCTGGTGACAGAGCAAGACTCCGTCTCAAAAAAACAAACAAAAAAACATACTTTAAGCCTATGCCCTTACCTTGTTTCCCCAGACTCTCTCAAATCTTTTACTATTATTGAGTCCTGATACTCATCCTATGAAATAGGTATTCTCTATTGGTGGTCAGAGTTCTTGTTACTGTAATTCAATCAGCATAAAATAATAATGGAATCTAACATTGATTATGTTCAGTGTGCTAGCACTAAGTGCTCTGAACACTTCATGCTATCTTATGCCAAAACAAGCTTATAAAGTGAGCACTACAGTTCTACTCCATGTGAACATATAAGAAAGTAGCTAACCTAAGTTCACATTCAAGCATGTACACACACAGTAATGGAGGCGAATTCTAACATAGGTTGGTCTGACTTCAGAGCCAAAGCTCTCAGCCATTGTGCTTGCCATGCCCAGCACAGGAGAAAGTATATTTTCAACCAGCATTAAAGCTACAGATCTCTTGTTTTGCCAGTGCCTTTCCTCAGCTTTGGTGATGGCAGGTGGTGGAAGTCCGTGCTCAGAGAGGGATCCTGGCTGCACACCTCACACAATGTTGGGCAGGAGAAACACCATGGGCTCTCTCTGCAGTTCTGCAACTGCAAGCAGTAACCAAGCTGGGCACAGTGGCTCACACTTATAATCCCAGCACTTTGGGAGGCCAAGGTGGGTGGATCACTAGGTTAGGAGTTCGAGACCAGCCTGTCCAATATGGTGAAACCCTGTTTCTACTAAAAAAAATATATAAAAATTACCTGGGCATGGAAGCATATGCCCGTAATCCCAGCTACTCAGGAGGTTGAGGCAGGAGAATCGCTTGAACCCGGGAGGTGGAGGTTGCAGTGAACCGAGATGGTGCCACTGCACTTCAGCCTGGGTGACAGTGAGACTGTCAAAAAAAGAAAAAGCAGTATCAAGGCCCAGGCTGGTTACCAT